AGATTACGTTTAGTATGGGATTAGGTTACTACTTTAGGGAAAATTGATGAGCAGTATGAAAACCGGAGTTTTCGTTTCATAGTCAGTCTAGTATGTGGGGTGAAGATTTCAGTGTCAACTCTAGAATAGTGTTGGAAAATTGTATCTTCTGATATAGGATAATGGTTCTAGGCGCTTATAGCAGCGCTCCCAAACTAAAAACTACCAAAGCATTACCCCCCCAGGCTCTAAGAAGCAAACCCGATACAAAAACTACTGATGTAACCCAACCTGACAACAATTTTTTTGGGGGGGTAAAACCCAGATTACCACAGTTGCCCAGATTGAAATTTCCGATTAATATAATACCCAGAAAGAAAAGCTGAACTAAAATCACTCTAATAAAACTGGGGTGTTGTCATGAGTGTTTGAAGGAATTGCTTGTCCGAGAAAGCTCACTTATCGCAATCGAGTTCTGCTAATTTCTAAAAATGGTCTAATGGTATATGCTAACCTTCAACAACGTTAATGTTCGAATGATATAATCTGCAAAGGTTTCAGTCTTTTGAAGAGAAACTGTGACGGAACCATACTTGGAAGTCTTTTCTGGCCAATACTTTTCACACTTTGTCTGCAAAGGGTGACAAAAATCAAACGAACAAAATTAAATTCAAAACTTGAAAAAGGAAAAAAAAAAAAAAACACAGTAGAAATGCTAATAATAGTAATAACAACAATAATAATAATAATAATAATAATAATAATAATAACAATAATAATAATAATAATAATAATAACAAATAACAATAATATATTTATAATTGTATTGATAACAATGCTAATCATTAAAATCCTATTAACAATTATTTCGCTTAAAAAAACTATTCCGTCAAAACACTCAGGGTTCATACAAAAAATGCAACCATTTTTAAGGACTTTTCAAGGACCACCCACTAGGAATATAATTTCACAGATTGTACAGATTCAATAAGAATTGAACTGTTTGCTTCACCAACTTCTCTGCATTTTTCAGTTCACTTGTCTTAAACTGAGCTATGGTTTATATTCTGTCTTGGATAACCAAAAAGCATAAAAAAATTCTTTCCTGGCCACTACATTCAAAGTTAAAGAAAATTCAAGAGCTTTTCAAGGACTTTCACAGAAATTTAAGGACTTTTCAAGGACTTCCCATAAAATTCAAGGACTTCTCAAACCTGTGCGAACCCTGACACTATTTACAATTCCTTTGGATTAAAAAACACTTAGTTTTGATTACAAAAAAAATTCATTTCATTAAAAAAAGTAATCGAACTAAAAACATTTCATTTCAATTGATAATAATAATAATAATAATAATAATAATAATAATAATAATAATAATAATAATAATAATAATAATAATAACACCGATTACGACAAAGACAACGACAACGACAATGATAATGATAATGAGAACATTTTTCTCGAAGATCCCAAGACGCTGGTTACAAAAAATATACATTAAAATTGACATTCCACCTCCTCCAACATAACTTATTATTTATCAAAATATTTCGCCTGTTTGGGGTTGCCTCATTCAATAACTGGTAAACATTGAGCGACCAGTTTCCCTTTGCTTAATTGTCTATATGCACAGGTTCTGCTGTAGCTCCAATTTGTCATCTTACAAACGTACCTTCCCTTGTTCAACCGTGTTTGTCAGCATAACAATGCTAAGGCAGTTCTCTTGCCAAATCATTCTCCAGAAATCATTGACTGTTACTTTATTTGGACCTTGAAAGACAATAAAAGGTGCATTAGCGAAAATGCACATGCACCCATAGGCAGTTCCAAAGTGAACGAGTAAGCTTTTCACACAACTAAAGAAGTCCAATTTTTAAGTAAAGCGAACCTTGAGTCGCAATGTAACTCATTGTCTTCTCGTCGTATGTCTACGAAAAAAAAAAAACCACCATGAAATAATTGTTAGTGGCAGGGATTAGTTTTCATGTACATTTACCAGCGTATCGTCAACCAATGACAAGAGCCCGCGTGAGAATGGCTTGGTATTGATTGTTGCACTGTAGGTGCATTACGCGTACATATTGCCATATTACTTTGACGTCCACGACACAACTATGACGTAAACTTACAACTGCGAAGTTTATGGAGGACGTGGACAGAAGGCGACAATTTTTGCTTTATCAAGTTTTGAGCGTGGATGCGGTCCTTAAGAATTCAACTCTGGGAAAATTCGCCTACATGTGACAAATTGAGCGAGACTTTATAGTCGTGATAAAAGATTGAAAGAACGCAAATTCATTTTTTCAGGGATATTTTCACTGCAGTCGTCTTCTTGATCGTTTAAGCACCCTAGTCGCAGAAATATACGAACCGGGATGTAACTGGCGTTGATGTAGTCAGATTTCGAATCGCCATCTTCTTTTCCCAGGATAACGCGAGAATGGTCATCTGTCAATAATAATAATAAAAAAACAAAATGGAAAGAAGAACACCAAAAAAAACCCACGATAATTATTGAGACCACAACCCATCCATTAGCTTCACCGTTATTCTAGCTGTGCAGATCTGAAAAGTGCAGAAGAGGTTTTTGTGCTTCGATCTTACTTCACGAATTCTTCTCTTACCCTGAACCTATATATTCTGAAAACCATTCAGGATGACTATATTCAAATCCCCATGATTATTAAAAAATAAGTTGAGAGTTAACACTTGCTAAAGGTTTTAATATCTGCTTTTCTTTTTCTGTGTTATCATTTTAGAGTCAGTGACTCCTTGTCTTAGGGCCTTGTCTTAGGGCCTGTTTACATGGAAGTGGAGTACCCCAGATAGGTGAGGTAACCCGCTTAGGTGGGGTAACCCACCTGTCCATATAATCTCTTATTTTAATGTGATCACGTTTACATGTTAGGTGGGGTAACCCGCCACATGTTACCTCACCTACCTGGGGTCCCCCACCTTCATGTAAACAGGCTGTGTGTAAATTAGACCACTTAACTTCTGTGTTTCATTTCCTTTTTGTTGCAATATGCAAGGCTTTATAATAGTTTAAGGTTTTTTTTTCATTAGATAATTGTGTTATTCATATACTTGTCTTGCCCCACCACGACTAGTTTTCCAGCTATTTGTGGGGCAAACTATTCAACTTTTGTGTTTTTGTATAATAATAATTTTTTTTTTTTTTGTGGTTACGTTTTCTTTTTTTGAAGCGCCACAAATGGAATTTAACTTATCGTCAAGTCCGTCTGTGAAACAACGCCGAAATCCTTGTTCTGGGCCCTCACCTGTGTACCAGGATTTGAGTAAGCGCCATGATTGACATGTTTAGAAAGCCGTTGTCAATTTGCCAATCAGGTTGAAGGGAAATTCGAAATTCGTTGAGTCCGTTGGGGGCCCAAAACCAGGAGATCGGAGCTGATCAGAGAACGTTACTAGCTGGGGTTAAAAACAAAAGTTAAAATTATGGTGTGTAATCTTGCTTTTAAATTCGAATTATAAACATCAAAATAGTGATACTTTAGTAGGATGTTAGAGATTTCAGTTCGCAAACAAAAGTCGTGATCGCCCTTTATCGTATGTGTTATTCCTTTTAATCATGAACAGTATAAGTACTAAATGTTATGTCGCATGTTTCATTAGTTCAAACCACTTTCAAGCCGGGATGTAAAGTGTCTCCGCCTTTTTTTCTTTTGGGGCAGCTATACTCGAACATAAAGTAAAGTCAGCAGAACGATGTAGTGAAAAAATAATTTAAAAAATAAATAAATAAACAAACTTACAGGTGACTATGTTACCATAACGGTTTTTAGATTTGTTGTTCGTTGCAACCTCATAGCTAGAAAGCATGCCTGTAGGCAATTCCTGCAGAGAAGGTATTAGGACAGACAAAATCGATTAATGAGGAAATGCTTGAGTGCACAACTGTCACCGTTTTTTTTTAACGTAAGGTTGTGTTCTGTCCTAAAATAAGAGGTAGCTTTACGTCTTCTTATCCGGCTACTGTAATACATACCTAAATTGATGTATAAATCAGCAATTATTTTAACCCTCGGACGTGCAGAAGGCGGGGGGGGGGGGATGCCACCCTTCCCCCCCCATAAGGTTTTTCTTAGTTTTTTCCAAGGGGATAAAACATCAGCACCTGACGTTTTCTGTGGCTGTTTCTTCAAACCTCGCGCAGATTTTGAGACAAGTGTAGTGGTCTGTTGCTATGGTTACGAGATATGACGTCATAACTAGCAGGTGGTCAAGCCAATTTTGGGTGAAAATACATGCTTTTTCAACTTTTTTCCGCATTAAAAGTAAATCCTCTGGCTAAAATCATGCCAAGTGCTTATTTATGTGTTACTTTTCATGTAAAGAAAAAAAAAAAAAGAAGAAAAGAAAGAATCGAGTTGCCAAAATCTTCATATCCAATATCCGGGGCTGTTCAACTATCACATTCTAACCGTGGCCGTCTTGGTCTAACTTGAATGGCGCTATTATAACCCGGTTTCGCGAGGGTTTGCGAGACAAGTATTTCTAGCAAATGGTTACTAATTAAATGGCATGCATAATTTGGACTTGCCTTAAATTCTTTTCTCAGTACAGCTGCTCCGTTAATGGCCTTGCTCTTGAAGTACGCTACAAACTCAGACGCGGGAACTGGTTTGGGTTTACCGTCTTGTGCTTCACTATACACAAGCTCGTCTTCTTTAATCTTTTCTGTCTGTGCAGTATCTGGATGAAGCAAAATACCTCAAGTCTCACAAACAACATTTAAACATTGTATTTTGTTTATCTTCATTTTACTAACTGGTAGAGCTTGTTGTATTAAATTTGTGTATTCAGTGTTCAACTGAATTTCTCAAAATAGGTAAAAGGAGTCTAAATGGACAACCTTAGCCTAACAGGTTCTTATACGCGGGTTTTTACTGTATCACTAAGAACACACAAACAGTCAAAAACAAAGAGTCAAGCCCATAGTCCTTGATTTCAGATATGTTTGTATTATTATACAGTATATTCAAACTTCACATTAAGGACATCCGCTCAATTACTGACAGTTTGCTTTGCCCTCCCAAAAGAAAGCTCTCACATTTTCTTTAAATTTAAACCGCTCAATATGAACATCAGGTTAATATAGATACTTTTTATGCCCCGCCCCCCCCTCCTCAGTGTCCGTACAGACGGGCTTTGACCATACAGTGAAACCCTGCTTTACGGACACCCGCTTAATGCGGACACTTTTTCTTAATGGCCCCTTCAGTATCCGTATTAACGGGGTTTGACTGCAGAAGAGATTATATGAAGTTTTCCACTTTTGGGACCACAAGATATCTTTGGAATACTGTCAAATCCCGTTTACTGGTTAATGCTGACACTGAGGTGGTCACAGAAACCGTCCGTAATAATTAGGTGTCCGTATTAACCGGGTGTTCGTAAACCGGGGTTTGACTATCAACAATCCTATGCACATTCGCATGTGATCGAGTGGTAATCGAGACAATCAAGACCCTGTCCGTAAAGACAACACCAATCTATTTATATCTAAGAAGTTTTATGTGATGACTTTCAGTTGAATGCTAAATAAGGACAAATTTGAAGTTCACAAAACTAATTTAGAGTTGAACAAATTGGATAAAGCAGAAGCAGAAGCAGAAGAAGAAGCAGTAGCAGCAGCAGTAGTAGATGAAGAAGAACAAGAACAAGAACAAGAAGAACAAGAAGAAGAACAAGAAAAAGAAGAAGAAGAACAACAACAACAACCACCACCACAACAACAACAACAAAAACAACAGCAACAAGACTTCAGCCAATAATAATGGCTGTACAAATTCAACAGGCTGCAACACCGCTGACCGGCGCTTTTGCACTTGTTGGGCGATTTTCAGTCGAATGTCATTTGGCTTCAGGAAATCATTAAACAGTGATGGAATTTACCCTTTCCATTACGCATTCCAGCAATATTCTGGTAGACCGGCTTTCCTTCTCTCCCTGTGGAACCGTCGTTAGTGTTCTGGTAGATTTGCTCGTCTGATTTTGTTTTGGGTGAATCCACCACGACATTTGAATAAACCTTGTCGTCTGGTTTGGTGGGGGAGTTAACTGCAGCAATAGTTTGGTACACCGTGCTATCGAGACCTATGTCACTACCCACGCTATCGCGTTGAATAGGGGTTTTGCTGTCGCCTTCTCTTTGTGATCGTTTCCTCCTAATGATAACAGAGAAATACAAAATACAAAGGGGGTAAGTCACGCTATTTGCTGAATTAGTGAGCTTACGCAGCAGGACGGGAGAGGAAAGAAGACGGTAAACCTTGCGTGACAAGCGTGACAATAATTTTGTTAGAAAAACTTTTCCTTCGAACTTCACTCTCCTTTAAACAGGACTTTTTGTATAAAGACCAGAAAACATTAACTTAAGTGAAGATCACCACAAAACACGTAAGTAATAGGTCTGTCACGTTTGTCACACACAAGTGTTTTACTGCCCTCTTCTTTCTGCCGTCCTGTTGCGTAAAGTTACTATTAGGGAATTTAAGATGTCACTACGGTGACGGCAACGAAAACGTCAAAAAGCAATAGGTTTAGGTTAGCAAAACAACAACTTCGCACGTGCATCATGCTTTTTTGTGCATTTCTTTGCCGTCACTGCACGACAACGATGTGCATTGCCTAATTTCACGTTTTATCGACAACGTGAACATACGACGACGAATTTCTCTTTCTCTATTTAAACTTGACTATCTTTCTTAAGAATTCAAATGCAGGAAAAATTGCCTTCATTGAACAAAATGAGCAAGTTGAGATAGTTGCACTGCAGTTTCAAAGAACGTGAAGTCACTTTTTAAGTGACGTTTTCGCCGCCGTCGCCGTTGTGATATCTTAAACTCCCTATTGTAAAAAGTTAAAATGTGTCTTCGAATCTATCGAATTTCAAAAATAATGGTCCAGATTTTGTTATTTAAGACTATATTTACTAACTGAAAATGTCTCCTGTCGTCCGTTGCAACGGATGGCAAGGATCGACCTGGATTAAAGGCTGAAAAAGTTGGGCCAGCTTTTTCACGTTTTATTGCTATGCCTTGAAATATCGCCAAAAAAAACTATTTGACGTTAATGCTCCTTAATGAAATTTGATCGATATCTTCTTCATAACTCTACAGGAGCGTTTTGCACAAGGATAAAGGGACAAAGTAATGACTTTAGCACAGAATTGGCCTAAAGCAGCATGACAGGCAAGTTAAACGCAAGAAATATTTGGATTTATATTCAGATCAAGATTTGCTTTAAACGGCCACTCTTTTCGACTCTTTGCCAGGTAACAGGGAAAGCGTACGAGGCCAGTTACTGCGGCCCAATGATAGACCCCTTCCTTTTAAAAGATTAATTACCCCAACGGGGACGATGTCCCCTACTCTTGCGTTTTCTATGTATTATTTCATCTTATTGCATCTAGTTTTTCACATCTTTCTTCCTTCATCCTCCGCCTCGATTAGCTTAAACTTACTTAAGCTAACTTCGGCTTGCGAGAAATACCGTATTTATTCGATTAAGCGCACTAGGGTCTTATTGAATTTTTGGATATTGAGTGTTGGCGCTTTTAAGCAGAATTTCAAGTGTTCATTGCAAGCTGGGATTCTTTAAAAACCTAAGAAAAATCGGTCTTCGGGGAAGTCTCAAAGTAGAACTTAGTGTATTTCAGTTTCATCGTCAGTGAGGTCACTTCTTTGGTGGAGGGTAGTAGGGGTGGGGCGCTTATTCGAGGATGAACGCCTAATGGAATAAATACGTTATTCTCTTTTCCCTTTTTAATCGACTTTTATTCCGTAATATTCCATAGCATAAATTTTTGCTGGACGTCATTAGAAATCCACGTTCGTAATCACTGACAAACAGAGCCCGTATATGATGGAGAAGCGCCAACTACAACCTACAACAACAGGAGCAACAACTAACTCAACAGCAGAAGCAACAACAACAACACTGTTGATGGCATGTACGTACCTTAGATAAAAAATAATTACAATTCCCACTGCTGGTATAAGGAGAAACAGTAACACGACTGGCACAACTATTGGGATGATATCTGTACCACTTGAACCTTCAGCTGCATTTTTTATTTCAGTATCTGCAGGTTAACAGAATGATTAAATACTCAAGATCAGTTCACGCGCTTTGACTGACCAGAGGGACTTTTTAATTACAAACAATACTTCCTCGGAGTAAAACTCAGACATGCAGTTGTATCAAAACGTTTAATGGATGACTCGTTGAAATTACCAGGGAATATTGTAGCTTCGTTAAGGCATCAGCGAGCCAAAGTTTACATGAAAGGTCGAATTTTCCCCGAAAAAGGCAATAAAAAACAAGCAAACAAGGGGGTAGCATGTGCACAGAAATCTCCCGCAATTCTAATTTTCACAGGGGGGTTAAGCAATCTCTGAAAAGAAAATAGATGGTCTGTGAACAAGCTACGAAGAAAAGGGAGGAGGGGTGGGGGGCTTATTCCGCATTCTCGCTTCCTTTTTTCGATAATCCCGCATTCTTTTTTCGATAATCCCGCATTCCGAGCTTCTGTCATCTTTATTACGAATACCGTTTTCTTACCTAATACCGCATCCCGAGATTTTAGCCAATCCTGTATCTCGTCAAGACATTTTGCGTTTACTCGATGTATTTTTTTGGTATAAAACAGGCCATTTCCGAGTTACCCCAAGCCTCTGTTTTAAAACAGGACTAAGCGTAAAAATGATTTTCTATTTTCATGCAAAGAAAACTTATTCTCACGAGAAAGGTTTGGTACTTAGCCTCGTTTTGAAACAGAGGCTTGGGGTAACTCTGACTACCTACTTGATGTATGCAGTTGTGTGGGCGGACCATAGGGCCCAGGTCCAACGACCGTAAAAGCCCGAACAGAGATTCTGTACTGAGAACCAGTGAGAAAATCCTTCAAAACAACAAAGGTTTTTGTTGTATTCAATCCTTTGCTGCTTGCAACTGCTCGCCGTGAGCGTGGTCCTGTGAGCACTAACTCCGCCTTTGCTTCATAGAGAATGACTATCCCATTGCTCTTCTCCGTTGGTAGAGGAGCCCACGAAATGTTGAATGTTGTTTCATTCAATTCAGTAACAAAATTATCTGGACCGAAGCTCGGTGCTATCAAGAAAAAAGAAATATTCAAAGACTTGAACAAAGAGGTGGTAATAATTACACTTATGTTCGACAAAAATAAGGATGCCTCTTTATTATGGAAAGTTCTATTGGCGCAAAGATACCAAACTTAGTTTTACTTACAATTCCTTCCTCTACAAAAAGACAAATCTCTAGTTGAAACACTTGGCTAAGTCTTTATGTCACGAGGAAATTGCTGTTTAGGGTCAATTAAGTGCAGAATAGGTTACTCATTGCCTTTACCCATACACAAAACAGTGCTCAAACAAATATTAAACAAATTTCACCAGGGAGGACTAGTCATAGTATTCCTTCGGTGAGTTTGAAAAGCATAGCATTAAAACTTAAAAGATTGCCTAACTTTTTCATGTTTCAGTCCACCTCCATCGTGCCACCCGTTCGAACAAACGAAAGGAAACAGTTTCATTGCTTAAATCAGAAGCATATAATCCCGCCACATGTTACCTCATCTATCTGGGGTCCCCCACCTCCATGTAAACAGGACGTTAGATTGGACTACAAGTAGGAGATTTAGAGCGAGTGGGAGATCTCAAACCAAGTTCAAGATAAAAGCTTGCCATTCATCTTACGTCGCTTTTTTAATCACAAGGAAGGATTGGGTGCTTTGTGGACATAACTTGCTCGAAAGTCTAAAGCAGTAGACGCAAGCTTATTGATGTTTTACCTGAGAAAACAGCTGACATTTTGCGATGACACCGCTGGTTTTGACGATCGAGGAACGAGCGCAGAAATTTCTTCTGATGACGCGACCGTACCCGGATCCGGAATGGGTAGTGTTTCTGATTGGTTGAAATTAGCAAAAGGAAGCACTGTCATCAGTATGGAAATTCAAGTCTGCGCTCGCAGAAACCAGTGGTGGAGTCGCGAAATGTCGGATTTTTTTCACAGGCTACCGATACCGTATTTATTCGAATAAGCGCCCAACTTCGAGTTAGCGCCCACCTCCACCCCAACCCCTCCCCCTCTCACTCAGACTCAAATAAGTGCCAACCCCCACCCCAAAAAATTGAATAAGTACTAATGAGAGACTTCTCCGAAATAGGAGTTTTCTTCAGAGTATTTACAGAAGCCTTGCTTTATTACATCTTCGAGTTTTATTATTACCATTTATTGTTTTGTTGCAAAATAAACATGCTTCACTCACTAAAAATGGGGAAAATTTAGTAAGCGCTCACCTCGAATACGCGCCCACTCTCAAGGTCCAAAAATTTAACAAGCACCCTGGGCGGTTAATCGAAAAAATACGGTATTTAAAGTACGAGAACTGAGAATTCTTAGCCCAATGCATATCAGGCAGGCGCATCGTACATGTTGGTGTTTCCATTCTTACATTCACTAGACATGTCTTACCGTCTTCACTTGTTCTTTCCGTCACAACAGAGCTTTTCGGTCCACCCCCAGCGTAGGTGAATGCAGACACTTGAATATCGTATTCTGTGTATTTCTCCATCCCAGTAATCGTTTCATTCAAGAGAACAGTTTCACCGTCAACGGTGACAGTGTTCGCTTGACCGGAGGCGCCTGTTTTCTGGTAGTACACTGTAAATCCCGCAATAAGTCCATTTCGGGATATCCCGGGGGGTAGCTGCCAGTTCACTGAAATACTAGTTGAGTTGTTGACTGTCAAACCCAGGTTCGTAGGGGCTTGTGAAGGAGCTGAAAATGGGAAGTCAAAAGGCCATTTTTGTGATGACGAAATTTGGCTACAACTACCAGAAGGCATTTCGTTTTTATATTCTTGTTTAAATTTGTCAATCCTGCAGAGATTTTTTAAAAAGAATTGCAATAGCCTTAACTTGCAGAAGAAAACAGCAAACTGAAGGGTTTTGGTAATTGGAGAAAATGACATCATCGTGCAATTGTCCTATTATTAAGTCAATAGTCTTCTTTAGCTTGTATGTTTTGTTTCCCAATACAGGCCATGTGATAATACTCTAGAGAACTGTTTCTTGCAAATTACATCTAATTCACGTGCATCTCTCCACATAATTTATGAAGAGATAAAGGGTCAAGTTCCCCTGAGATCTCTATTGGGAAAACAAAACATACAAGTTAAAGAGGTCTATTGATTAAATATTTTGCTAATGATGAAGGATAAATAAAAATTACATTATTATATTAATACAGAAATATTATACAACTATCCCCGAAGGGCACGTAAATAGACGCGAAGCGGCGAGGTATATATCTAGCGCTTCATTTATCGCTCAAATTTCGTCTTCCAAAATTGTCTCCAGACGAGACGCCATTTTTGCTCCGGTTGCAAAACAGTTAATGGCGAAGGATATTCCGAGTTACGGGAGCCAATCAAAATACCCCAAAATTCCTATTCACTGATTTGGTAAATACTAAATTGATATATAGAGGATAATACACGGCCACGCGGAGATACGAAATCTCTCTTTGAGTGCTGAATAATATTAATAATATTTTTAAGCACGAGAAAAGAAATTTCGTATGTCCCAGCGACCATGTTATGTTCCATTTATAAACACCAATGAGATACCAGTCCATGTAACTTTGCTAGTTTTTCTTTTTTGCTGTAAAAGGCGCGATTTATTATGTAGCCATAGCGACGGTGATCTTTTCACATGTGAAGATAACCCATGTTATTTTCACTTGTAAAGATATCCGCCCGGTTATTTAAACGGAGTTTAACCAGTGTCTAATAAAACCGCGTTCTAAGTTATTTTCAGTTGCCCAACGCTTTTATTTAAACACCATTTGTCGTAGACAATTTCATTAATGCATATACTGTAGACTAAAAAAGCATTTCTCGTTTAAATAACCGACCCACCATGTTTTCCCGCGAAAGCTCACCTGCAATTTCCTTAGTGTTTGTATAATAAAATATAGTAAGTCACATTATTAGTATAATATATAAGTCAGTACTAATATATTTTTTTATCTATGTTAAAAATCTTCAGTATAAATGCATTTTAAGAATAACATCAAATTAAAATAACGAAAGTCCCCGAAAAGTCAAGACAGCTTCCACCTTCATCATCCGTTCCCCAACAGTGATATAAATTATTCTTTATTGATAAATAAGTACACAAAGCACGAGTTAACGATAATAAGATGCCAAAGCCAAAGGCTAAAGAAAACGACAAAACAGATATACATGTAGATAAATTAACAGTCATAGAAAGCGGGGTTGGAAACCTAATCGGGCGTAATGCGAGAAGTCAACGATTTTCATTCGCCCGACGCGCTTTCATACTCGCTTTGACGAGTGGGCCAGCTCTAATGCTAATCTCTGAGAAATGGCAAAATGAATTGATTATCGTATCTTCATAAGAAAGGCTAGCACTTGATCATAGCTCACGGTGAATACTTACCCCCAACGTCTGTCCTCACAGTTTTAACAGAACTTGGCGGTCCATCACCCATAAGGGAAAAAGTTAACACCTGAAATTCATATTTTGTAAATATCCCAAGTCCAGTGACTTCATGGCTAAGGACAGAGTTGCTTTCAATCGTTATGACGGTAACTGGATCTTCGACAGAGCTAGAGTTTCTATACAGGAGCCTGAATCCTGTAATCATCTGGAAGTCTGCCGTTGGCAACTGCCAGGATGCTCGAACACTAGTGGAGGAGGAAGGGGTCACCCTAAAGCTGGTGGGAGCACGGCTTGGCGCTAGAAGAAACGCAAGTAAACGAATAATGAAATCTACCTTTTATTTTTTATTGTTAATAGCCAGTTATACACTGTTACAAGTCGAAACGAGGCTGGAGTTGACCTTGTTTTGATACAACCCTTCCTGCTCTATTATGTAAATCATGTTGTTCATATACAAACAAAACTTTTTTAAGCATAATTTTCATGAGTAAAGGAATGATGTTTTTCTCTAGGTCAATCTCAGCCTCACATTCACTCAAAGGCTAGGGCACTAAGCGCACATCTCTGAAATGGCCTATTCTAGTTTTCTAAACATGCTACGTCGCCCTAGAAATTCGAAGACACGCGTACAATCAGTAAGGTTTTCGAACAAACTTCAAAACGACCCCTAATAATTTCGTTTATCGAAAAAAAAAGGTTGGGTAATCTTAAGTTTTTCTGAAGCTTTCACTGTAGGCTGGTATTTTAGGGATAGGCGAAAACAAGCCCTAAAAAAAGTCGCGAGGTCTTAACTGCCCCTTCAGACAGACAACCGAACAGTAAAACTTTAAGAGCGATGCGAATTATTCATTTTTATTGCTTTCTAAACACTCCAGGAAGCCTAAAGGGCAATGCGGAGAAAACGCTCGTTGGGTGCCCCCTAAAAAAAAAAGAGAGATTGTTCGTAGTCTATTTGAGACGATAACGCCCCAAAATGTACAAGGTTCTTTTCTTTTACACAACCGACGACTTGCAATGATTGTAGGTTACGGGAAAAAGACGACTGAAACTTCACCCAATGATATAACTACAAACTAGAGGAATAAAGAACGTTGGAAAACGCGTTTAAGATTCTTCTGGTTTATGAGTATCGAAACTGTGAGTATATGAACAGGAACCGACATTAAACTGGAATCTTTACGAAATTTACCTGTTGTTGTTAGTATTCCATACACTTCTACTCTTAAAGCTTTCCCAGCTGAAAACTCTGTTGGCTGAAAGCGGATGAACCTCGCTCTAACTATACCGATTAGACTGTGTTTTACGATATCGTTCCTCCCATCATTGGCGTTAAAGATCTGCAAAGTCAACATTGTTGTAAATTAAACGTAACTACTAGACTGAGAAAATAGGCTCTAACGCTGCCGTTTTTGGTGCAAAAAATACCTTGGCAATTTTTTCCCAGGTTTTTTCCCGGCGGTAGAAGGCAACTTTCCCTAAGGGTTGATTTCCACTGTCGCGTATTTTTTCCTTGCGTAAATGAAATAGAGCAGTTGTTTGAAAGGCTACGCGTACATGTAAGAGTTAAGCGAGGGTCGACTTTTACGTTTACACATGACCTTCCATACATTTCTTGCTTGCCTGCCTCTTCTAGCATTTTCGAACATCTAATGGTATAATTGCCCATTTTTAACGGATTTTTGCCCCAAAAAGGTCACCTAGAATTTTTGGTAACCTTTTTTCTGGCTGAAATTTTCGAAACAGTACGTTTGGATCCCTATAACTTGCGGATAATTAGACTTTCAGCTAGGAAATCCGAACAGATGAAAAAATTTTAGGGGACAAAAATATGCCTATAACTACCGTTTAAATACTAAAATGCTTTTAAAAATGCTATGTTTAAGTGGTTTTGAACTATATCCTCATTGGGTGCCCCTGAAAAGGAGACAATTTCCGAGGAGGTGGAGGGTTGCTTACAGAGGTTTTTTTCCAGGGTTTCTGAGTAAGATCGGTGAGTTACTGATAAAAACAGGTTCTCTGTTGGACAGGCTTTCAGTTATTTCACTGTTACCGGTCTTCAAAACAAGTATTTCTTGAGAGAATGAGTATTCTCTATTATTTTCATATCAATAGTTTCGCACTTAGTCTTGCTTGATACAGAGGCTTGGAGCAACTCGGAAATGGCCCATTAAGTAGTTCTAATTGCGTTGCAAGTTTTCTTGTGTCCAAACACACCTTGTCAGTGTCTTTTTCTTGATAAGTTAACCAGGTTGAGTTGTCCAGCGAATAACGTAATTTGTACTTTTTTGTCCAGTGATTGGCACTTGAACCTTGAGTGGCTACGGCGCAAATAAAGAACTGGTCTTTCAGGTCAATTTGTAAGTAGTCGTTGTCATCACTATTTCCGCTAGGTGACCAGGCGCCATTTCCGTTTAGACGACCTTTGGAAGCTTCATTACCAGAACGATGAGTCGAGGCAGAGAAACTGTTGTCTGGGATAGCGTCACTGCTGGCCAGACCGATGGCCTGGATTTGGCACGCTAAAAAAGGGTATTTATAACTTGATCATATGTTGATTGAACCTTCCGAGGACAAGAGTGAATAGATTTTTTCTGTTATATTATTGTCCCTAAGTAAGTATCATGTTCAAGATTAAAGGGGCTACCTCACGCTCTTTGCTATGTTTTTCAAATGCTAAAATGTGTCCTCGCTCAATTGAATTCAAAGATTAATGGTCCATTTTTTGTTATTCAGGGCTGTATTCAGGCACTGAAACTGTTCCTGTCTTCTACTGCAACGGATGGCAAAAGTGGACGTAAACTGAAACTTAAAAATGTTTGGCCAAATTTTTCAAGTTGTAATGCGGTGCCTAGAATAATCACCGAAAAAAATTGTAATGTGTAGTTCAAGAAAATATCCTAAAAAATATCGACGGGGTGGGGATTTGCTTCCTAAGTTTGGTTCTAAGTACCGTAAGGCTCTCGGTACATTAACAAGAGCTCGAACTGATTTTTGGATCCAAAATTTAAGACTTTTCCAGACATAATTCCAAACCAATAGTTTTTTTTTTCTCCAGAATCAAGATTATCAATTACAGTCGAACCTCCCGTAAGCGACCATCCAAAATACAAAGACTGAGTGGTCGCTTACGGGAGGTAATCGCTTACAAGAATCGAAGACAGAAAAAAAAAAACTGGAATAAACTACGAACAATATTTTTGTTCCATCGTATGTAAATACCAAAGCATAGTGAATGACACTAATCCCGGATGGTTCTGTACCTCTTCGTGCGGAATAAACTTCAACTTCACAGAAATTTAGTTCCGCTGTCCTTTCATGTATTCGTATGGTGACGTATCTCCCGTACAAACTTGGGCGACAGAAGAACGAGGCACCCTGGCCACCAGGAACTCTATGGCCATCCCCACACTTCGGATTGGTGATACCTCCGTTACTCGAATTTATTCCTGAAATATACATGTACAGATTGGCCTTATAGACCCTTTTCACGATACTCGCCATCTTTGCATTGTTGGCCAACAACTCCCTACATTGTTGGATGTTACATGTTGCCCCCGTTTGTACATCTTGTTGCATGTTTTTGCGTGTTGTTGGGAGTTGTTGCGAAATATGTTAGAAACCGGTAATAGCTTTTAGCCCCGTGCAAACGGACGCAACATCGTTGGTCAACAACTCCCAACATTGTTGGGAGTTGTTGCATCTGTATGCACTAGCTTAAAGACTGATGGTATAAAAGCAATGTCACGTGGTTTCTTAGGAGGCAAACGAGTGCTAAAGTTGCCAATTCAAGAAATCGCGGTCGAGTTTGTTTATTCTAGAAAACAAAAAATGATGGTAAATAATGACAGGAAGTGATAATTGTTTCTTTTCTGGATGCAGTAGTGACCGTAGATGTCCTCACAGCAATCAAAGATGGCATAAAAACTTCGAAATTCGAAATTCGAACTGTACATTTTGCAAGAGTAAAATCATCGTACCGTTTTGACAGAATAAACAAACTCGACCGCGATTAATCCTATTAGCAAATTTTTTCACTTGTTTGCCCCCTGAAATACCTCGTGACATTGCTTCTATCCCATCAACCCTAAAGCGCGTTCGAAGATGGCGGGTATCGTGAATAAGGGCTATTTAAGAATTAGAATACATATATATGCATTAAATTCTAAAAATCACTTTTTAAAGCAAAATACAGTTTGTAGAAAATGCTAATTGCCTAAGTTCAATATATTAAAATTCTAACATGACCCCGAGGCTTACTGGTCATTTTTTTTTTTTTTTTCTATATTCGTTTTGGTTTTCTTTGTGCTCAATTTTTTTCTGGGAATAGCGAGACAAAAAATTGCCAATTTTCCACGACTTCATTGTCTCGCAATTCCCAGCAAAGACTTGAGCACAAACAAAACCAAACCGAATATAGAAAAAAAACCAGAAAGCCTCAGAGTCATGTTAGAATTTTAATATACTGAACGTGGGCTATTAAGATGAATTCTGTGTTTTCACTCACGTGACCAGCATCTATGCAAATTTATTGGAATAAAAGAAAGCGTTTACATAATAAAAGAGTTCAACTCCCACAGGCCTGGTTTAGGACACAAACATGTCCGCCGTTTCATTGTTTTGGGACAAAAAAATATGGCCGCCATGACGTCATATGAAAACACACAATATATCACTCCAATGCACGTATTTACCTCGTGATCTACAAGGAAAATGCACGCACACTAACAAAGTATTTACTGTCTTAACCAGAAATGTTACTCACCCACTCTGATCTCGAAAGGATTCAATCTGTTTTCACAACAGTCTCCTCTGTTTACGACGTAAACTTCATTCACTAGCTCCACGTTTTCCAAGTCTACTCTCCACCAGGGCCGTTTTTCGTTAAGCGTGTGTGCACATGACCCATCAAAAAAGTTAGTATTGGCGTTTCCGTCCACGGCGTTGCTACTAGCACCCGTCGCACGAACGTGGTTAAAAGTACTTGACTGATTCGTGTCCTTTAGATACGCTAAATTTTCTTTAAAGAAACCAGAAGGTTGTTCAATAATGCTGTTCATTCTAATGCAAAGATCATGTTCACTTTCATATCTTTATCCGCAGCTCAAGATTAATATGATTTATTTCATCAGCCTAAATTTCAGCCATCTCCTTGAGTCGCATAGGGGACGTCTAAATCAACGAGCCTCTAATGCCGTCTAGTGACGTCATTACCCGAAAACCAGGTAGTGATTTTCATTGGTTGATTGTCCAAACACTTGCATTATTATGTATAATTATGAGAAATTTTAGCGTAACTGTCATGTGATATTCAGCGGATCGCATGCTTGCGTAAAGTTCAAAATTTCGACAATCTTTAGAGAGCAAAATATCCCATGTCTTCGAAATTATGACTTGTTAAATTGAACTACGAATGAAGAATCAATGCGAAAAGGCGGTAGGTTTTCATTGAAAGCTGCTTTGTGGTTTTGGCAGTGATTTTTGTGTCTAGCTAGAAAATTATCGAACCTTATCATTTCTACTTTCAAGTGTAATGATTAATTTTCTTTCTTTCTTGTTTGTTCGTTAAGGACCAAATAGCTCTTTTTAAATTAAAGCAAATTGAAGGAAGAGACGTCCTCTGTGTGTTCATTATTACGTGTGGCCGCGATCAAGTTTGATATAGTGATATATCTTTGTTTGCCAGCTTCCAATCTTGTTTTTTTTTTTTTTGCATAAATTATAGCAGAGGAGTAGTGGCGTCATTGGACGGCATTATCGGCTCGTTGATTCAGACTTCCCTTCCCAGGGCATGTGACTCGAGGTCGGGGACGTCTGATATTCAGGCTATCATTTCTTAGTAAATTCTAACTAGTGGTCTATTATCAATGCCGCGTTCTGATTCGTTGAGCTACTACTAGGTTATATCTTATAGCCCACTAGTAGCGAAAAGCGACGGCTTTTTGGCGGCAAAAAAGGATTTAAGTCTAGCTTTAACTAGCTAAAGCTGTTTTGTCTCGTTATTTTTGACCAACTAGTTGGATTTTACTAAAACAATTATTCCTCTCGCCCTCATGGCCTCTGAGGCCATTCGGGCTCGAGGAATAATTGTTAAATATATTTCAATTCAATAATAAAAATTAATTAATTAATCAACAATAAAATGACAAGTTCTCTGTATATCAAGGTACATTAATAGTATGTCAAAAGAAAAAAAAAGAGTGGAGCCACCAATCGCCACAAATAAGGTTATCCAGATTACGAAATCCGGGAAATTTTTCCATGTGGAATCCGCCATCCAGGGCTTTGGATTTCGGAATTTAGCTCAACGAATCCAGAATCCTGTCTAAAAATGGGAATCCGGAATCCATGTCCCACCGACAAAGAAATCCGGAATCCACAGCTTGGAATCCGTTATCCAAGACTGATTCGGTTTACCTCACACGGGGCGACACCAGCCTGACCAACAGCTCCTAGTAACCTTCATAAAGCATTATTCCTCTATTCCCCTTTGTTTCTACAGCATGTATGTTGCTTGAACTTACCATAACTGCGGCTTATAACCGATAACTGAATTTTTTGAGTACCTTGATCTTAAACTCTTTTTTTATCGCAATAGCATTTTGTTACTAATACGACTGGTGTAATTATCATTTAATTTCCACCCTGCTCCCCCTAGAGTCTCCAATAGCTCACTGTATAGAGCATCCGAACTAGAAATCAGAGGGTCGTGAGTTTGATTCTCACATGAAACAAGGGGTTTTTTTAAGCTTTCTGCTCAAATGGGCCCTTTCCACGATTTTCTCCAAGCTTTGACATGGACAAGTTATGGAAAGAACGCCTTTAAATAACTAAAATTGCCAGGTTTGAAGTGATTTGTTGCAGATTAACGAAGATATAGCTCCTGAAAGTCGCGAAATTTTACAGACGTTTGTATGGTGGGGGGGGCACAAACTTGCCCCACCACCACATAAACGTCTATAAATTTTTGCAACTTTGCGGAGCTATAATTTCGCTCGTTTAAGACGTATCACTGTCAAACTTGGCGAGTTTACTCATTCTAAGACGCTCTTTCCAGTGGTGTCGACGGATTTTCCCTAACTAGCTAGTCCATGGCAAACGTTGAAAACCGTGGAAAGGTCGATTGACGCAAGAACCAACTGGAAGTTGGTTAAGAGCGATGCAAATTTCAGACTGTTACCTCGCGAGTAAACTTCCACCTCACAAAGCTGAAGAAACTGTGTCTTCGTAGTTTTAATTCCAAGATATCGACCAGTTGTCAGTGGATTTCTGTGACACACAGCGGAAGCTATAAACTGGATAAAAGTGTACTCTCCAATACAATCAGGATTGTTTAGTACATTAGCCCTGTTACCTGATATAATAAAATAAAATGAAAGTCCTAAAGTCACTTCAGGTACGATAATGCGGACAAGAGAAACGCGCAAATTGTTTTGTGGCCTGACAAAACAGCCGACCTTTCGCAACACCACCACTCATTCTGTTTTTCCCGCAAAATGCCAT